AGCAATGCGTGAAAGAAGAGATGCAGGGGTGGGGTGGGAGCTTTGGGCTGGGTTAGATCCCAGCACGTCCCAGCAAGATGTAATCTCAAAAGATACATCTGACCCAGCAGGCTTTATCCCTCTGAGAACTCCCTAGTGGCTGCACCCTGGAAAACTGAATTTTCAAACCGCGTCACTTGTAGGAGAAAGGGTATACGATACTTCAGATTTTTGAGTAAAATTGGTCTTTGAATTAAGAAAGAACAATTAATAATAGCGTAGAAAAAATTCAGTGTTTTACCTCAAATAGGATAAAGGCAGTTTTAAATTTATTTCAGAGATAACAGTAAAAAAAAAATACTAAGAACTATTTTATTCAATAGTGAAAGGAAGTTCAGAGGTGGTAGTTTGCTGTTCCTATGAAGATTCATTTGGGTGGGCACATATCCATCTTCCTCTTTGGAACATTGATAGCTGATTCTCTTTTTTAAAAGGACAGTGGGATTTATATCTATATTTAATAGATAGGGCCAAGTAGTGATTATTGGTTAGGGCCAGGCAGTGATTATTTTTGTCTCTGTTATCCAGGTTGTCCCTGTCACAACTCTCCTGATATAGCCTGAAAGCAGACAGACAAACTAGAAGGCAAATGTGAGTGGCTGTGTTCCAATAAAACTTTACTTGCAAAAACAGGAAGTATGTGGATTTGGACCCTGGAAAGTAGTTTTCTGACTTCTGGTCTAAATCACTCATTTTTTTTTTTCAACAGTTTCTCAGAATTTTCTGGCATTGCCTTTGGGGAAGAAAGAAGAGTAGAGAGCACAGGCAGGTAGGGTCGTGCAGGTCTTATTCCCATTTCAACAAATAAACTCTTTTTTTTTTTCTTTTTCATATCTTGGAATGGAGTGAGATTATTCTTAAAGGCTCTTCAATTGAAAAGCTTGTAAAGAAAACATTGACTCTATGATGTCCCCTTGAGAATTATATGCTTCTCAGTAGAATCAACCACCCTTGTGCTTCTGACTTCCTGCCACCACCCCCCCATCCCTGCCATACTCTGGTGACCTGATGATCCAAAGTCTCCTTTCCCAGTCTAGTATTCTCCCTGGATTAGAATCCTATATTCATTTTCCTTCTTGACCACTGTCTCTACTTGGATTTCCACAGGTACCTCATAATCAATATGTCCAAAGAGAGCTCATTATTTTTACCCTAAATCCACTCATTTTCTCTTTCGTCATCTGAATTAACAACTTCAAATTTCCTCTAGTCACACAAACCAAAAGCCTGAGATTTAATCCTCTTTTCTTCCCCACTGAGAATCAGTCATGAGTCTGACAGATTTTATCTAGTAATTACATGTTCTAATCTCTTCCCTCCTTTGCTTAGTCCTCTAGTCCCAATTCAGGTCTCCACTGTCTCTCATCTGGACTGTTCCCAGATAAAAGGAGAGAGAGATATTGAGATGAGGAATAAGCTGGTCTTTGTCACCCTCTCAACTTGAATGATCTGTCTAAAAATGCAGATCTGAGCCAGAAACACACCCAATTAAAATCCTCCATAAGTTTTCTGTCCCATACAAGATAAAGCTTAAGTTCTTCAACTTTTAATCAGTACAAAGTTGTCCATAGCCAATTCCACTGTTCAGGTAGAATCATATGAAATAGCCAGATCTTAATCCCATTTCAACCAAATAAACTCTTTTTTTTTTCTTTTTCATATCTTGGAATGGAGTGAGATTATTCTTAAAGGCTCTTCAATTGAAAAGAATTGAATGAATATAATAACGTTTCATGGCTAATTTAAAACTCTGGCCTCAGCTCTTGCTACTTCCTAACTCATATTTCACATGTATGGGTAAATTTCTTTGCTGGAACTCAGACTCCTGATCAACTTTTCTACATGTTTCTCATCTTAGTTCTGGTGACATTCCTCCAGATTTTCTCCAAATTGCACTAGTAAAATGTTCCCTCTCTGAATTCCCACAGCAGCCACAGTGAAGGACTGCCACGGATAGCACTTAGATATCAGATTGACACTATTGAATGATCTGTTGGTGATTCAACCATCCCAGCAGGCCTTCAAGTGTTCAAAGATATCTCTCTCTCTCCTCTGCTTGTCCCAGAGCATTCAGCTCGTCAAATTAAACTGAATGAAATGGATTAAAACTATCGATTGTGGACATAACAATCACTAATGAATTTAACTGATTTCATAGGTATATTTGAATTTCAGAACTCTTTGGGGGATTTGAGCCTGACCAGTGTTTTAACTTACCAATAAATACAATTGGAGATCTAAATCACCAGTTAAATAAACAGCTTTGAGAACTGAAGGAACGATTGAGCCAAAGGCTTATACTTTTAGCCAGAATATTTATACTACAATAAATGATTTGAATAAAGAACTTCTGCAGCTGTGTCATGGGAGAAAAGCATGTTTATAGTGTAAATAATGTAAAATTTGATTTCCAAGTTCTTGCAATGTGCAAAAGTGTTTTTTTTTTAAACTAAAGCTCCTCTTTACATACACATCTACATAGATGAAAATGAGATATTTCAGCCCTCTCCATGCACCCCCCTCCAACATAAGCAGGTTGTAGGTAAATATTACTTGAGATCAAAAATAATTCTCAATCATAATTATAGCAACCCACTTGTGAAACTATGTATAGTATGGGAACAGACATATATATTGGACTGCTGGGGGAGGTGAACAAGCATTTATTCATGTAAGCATAGAATGTTCCCAAATAAAGCTCTCCTGCCTGGTGGGGAAGCAGACAACAAACCAACCAGCAAGCCTTGTCTGCTAATTGGCCACGTAGTTGTGTGGGGCTCCTAGAGGAGAGAGCCCAAAGAGGAAGGCAGTGATTCATCAGCACATTCAGCTTGGGGGCAAGGGACTGCCACACTGCAGGATAGAAACAGGTGACAGCTCCACATAGCCAAAGAATGGCAATAAAACAACAACAAAAAAATAGTGGTTTTCTAGAGAGGTAAACTGAACACCTCTCCTAGATACTGTGCCCAATGGAGGGCTGTTGCAAAGAAAGCCTTCCTGGGGTTGCCTCCCCCCTTACTTGAATTGCCAATCACAACTGTGGAGCCGTCTTGCTCTCCAGTGTGGATCAGGGGGTGCCGTGTCCCCAGCACAGCACCAGGCACATAGAAGTTCACAAAGGTTTCTCCACAGTTAAAGCTGTCTCTCACAGGAAGATGGAAAATGATCAAGAAGGAGAGACTGGGGCCATATATAGCAGCTACATGAGGATACCAAGGTTTCTACATATCCTGTGCTCAGAAAGGACTTTACATCCTGGCTGTTGAACCTACATGTGCATAGGATTTCAGGGTCCTTATCTTCATCAGTATAAAATCTAAATATAGTAAATGCTCTTTTTCTCCTCTTCTACCTCCTCCTCCTTTCCTCTTGTTCAGAGCGGTGTAGCTCATCAGAGGAAGCAAGATGATCTTTCCACACTCAGTTGCATGGCATCTCGTTTTACACACCTGTTTTCATATCCGTATGGAACCCATATATATCCTCATTTTCGTTTTATCTTCACATAGAGTTCTTTCAGCATCTGGTGTATCCTTCACTTCCTTCTTGGCCCTCATCCATCATTTTTTAAAATTTATTTTTGTAGTTGTAGATGGACAACATGCCTTTATTTTATTTGTTTATTTTTATGGAGTGCTAAGGATTGAACCCAGTGCCTCACAAGTGCCATGCAAGTGCTCTGCCACTGAGCTACAGCCTCAGTCTTCATCCATCATTCTTGTGATGATCTTGGGGGGCTTTCTCTAGGTGTTGACCAAGAGTTTTTTTTTCCCCTAGATTTTTTAAGCTTATTTTCTGCTTCTTATAATGATGATGATGTTGATTGTAGTTTAGTCACACTTAGTTTGTTGGACGTCACGTGCTATGAGGGAATTAACATGCATTATTTACTCTCATTTACTACTATATGATTTTTGTTCTCTGTGTAATACACTGAGTTAGGTATTGTCATTTCTGTCTTTCAAATAAACTAACAGTAATGGAGAGTGGCTTCATTGGCACAGCCAGTGATTGGCAAAATTGAGATTTGATGTGCGTTCTGTTTGACCTCAAAGCTCAGGTTCCTTTCACTTGACAACTTTTGCTGCAAATGCTTGCATGGGACTCTCTACTGTCCTTTCTTGTCATTCCTTTCACCTCTGAGTTACCTCATTCATTTTTCTTTCAAAGTATCCTGAGTATTTCACTTATTATGTAATTTCTCCAAATTTGCCTTTCTGTTCTCATTTTGAAGATACACTGCTACCTAGCATTCCCAGAAAATGTTCTATTTTCCCCAGATCTTTTTTTAAAACTTTTAAATTTATCTGTTCTAATCAGTTATATGTGACAGCAGAATGCTCTTTGATTCATTGTACACAAATGGAGCATGATTTTTTACTTCTCTGGTTGTACACATAGTAGAGTTATAACTATTCGTGCAATCATACATGTACCTAGGGTAATGATGTCCATCTCATTCCACCATCTTTCCTATCCCCATCCCCCCACCCCTCCCCACTCCCTTCCCCAGATCCTCATAGAAAAACAAAATCACTTATCCCAAGCCCTTCCTGATTTGGATCTTTTCTATAACTCTGAAAGCTCTTAGAGTTTGTCCTGTCCCCTAATCACACAATCTTTATGCCAAATTCCAATATTTTCTATAGCAATGTGCTAGTGAAATAGAAACATGTTTCTGATGTCTTTGAACTGACCTTCCCCATGTCTTTTCAGCGCATCCATTTCCTACCTTTAATTCATTAGGGAAGATTTTGAGTCACTGCAGCAAAAATATCAAAGAGAAATAAAGTTAGGATTCTTCTTCTGGTATCGCAAATAGGATTCTACCATGAGGGTTTTGAAAGTTAGACATTTTGGAGAAATGAGATCTAAATTTTTTTTTAAACCTTCACTTAAAGAATATGAAAAGCTAGGCCTAGTACAACTTTTCATAGATTTACTTTCTGATCTGATAGAAAGAAGAAGGCAGGATGCACTGTGGCAGGAGGAAGGCTTCAGATGGTGACAGGAGAGAGAACCACCCAGAGGAAGCCCAGCTGCTGGAGTGTGCTAGAGAAAGCCTGCAAGGCTCCAGGAGGGACCAGATACGGGGCCACTTCCAACAACATTCAGAGAGCTGGCACAGATGTTCCATCGGGAGCCAGCCACGGATCAGCTCACACAGATCATTCTTGGACTGCAGGTGTGCCCAGGTGCTGATCTAGAAGAGCATCATGGCTCATAGAGCATCATTTGTCTGCAAAATGATGTTTGAGAAGAGACCCCTGAAAACAGGATCTCGATGACCAAGGATGACCTGTTCAATAGCAGGACAAGACTTTAATCATCCAAAAAGTTCAACAGGACTCATTGTACCTTAGTGTTCACCAACCCAAGGAGCTGCAGAGACCAGCAGCCCTGCAGCAGAACCTGGAGAGATCCAAAGGTCCTTGCATGGATACTTATCTTTCTTACCTTTCCCCAGCCATAGGGAATCTGTTAGTCAGCTTTTTGTCACTGTGACCAAAATACCTGACAAGAATAACTTGAAGGAGGAAAAGTCTGGTTCATGGTTTCAGAGGTTTCAGTCCATGGCTGGCCAACTCTGTTGCTCTGGCCTGAAGTGGAGGAGAACATCATGGTGAAAGAGCAGTGGCTAAGGAAAGTGGCTTAGCTCATAACAGTTGGGAAACAAAGACAGGGCAAGGAGCTAGGGGACAAGATAAAATCCCCAAGACCTGTCCTCAATGACCTGTTTCCTCTAGCCATACCATACCTGCCCAGAATTACCACCCAGTATTCAATTCAAATTATTAATCCATCAAATGGGTTAACCCACTGATTGGGTCACAGTCTTCATAATCTAATCATTTACCTCACCGATCATGATCTAATCATTTTATAATCTAATCATGCTTAGTGGAACGTCTAGCATGCAGTAAATATTCTGTTTAGGTAATAAAACATTCCTGTATTGTCTCTTACTTGAGCTTATTGGGGGGACATCTCACATCCACACCCAAACAGGATTGCATAAGCCAAAATTCTCTTCCACATATATTGGAAAATCTTGGAAAGAATCAGAAAGAAGAAAGGGTTAAGCATGTTGCACACACCTGTTATCCCAGAGACTAGGGATTGTAACTTTGAGGTTAGCTTCGGAAATTTAGCAAGAATCTGTCTCAATATAAAAAATAAATAAAAAAGGGAGGTGGGGTGGGTGGGGTGGATGGAGAAGGAGAAGGAGAAGGAGAAGATAGGACAGTTGAGATACTAAGCAATTCTCATTATGAAAAAACTCAGGATCATTATAGGAAAACAATACACAGAAAATATTCAAGAAAAAGAAGAGGATGACAATACTCAAAATCCCATACAATCATAGATAATAAATCTTCCTAGATCCTTTCCAATATTGTTCTCATTTCTCTATCCCAACCCCCCATGGCTCTGACACAATACTCATGGGACCTTGGGCACCCATCATCTGTAAAATAAAGGTAATAGTACTGCCAAGGTCATCATATTGTTTAATAATTAAATAAGATGCATATACATGCTTAGTAGAACATCTCCCACACAGTAAATATTCTGTTTAGATAATAAAACAGACTTTAAGGTGAGCATGTATCATGAATGTATTTCAGTAGATGCCCTTCCTATTCCGTCACTCCAAAGAGCTGACAGGCACTCAGGCTCAAGCCTGTGACTGTGCCCTAATTAAGTCACAATTCCCTATTGTTACACACTTACATATTTTTCTTTGTTATTGTTACAAATAGTTTTGATACAAATATTCTTATAGATGCATATTTGGAACCAATCTGTAACCTTTTTGTAGTTAAGCCTCCAGATGTGCCATTTCCTGGGAAAGGATAGGCCTGTTTTGATGCTTGGAATACATATTTCCAAAATGCTCTCCAGGAGGGCTGAACTCAACTCTGAGGCATCTTTTAATAAATCTAGCAGAAGGTGTCTAACTACATATCCTTCATCATTCACGACAACACAACTACGATTCTCAGCAATATAAAATTCTACTGTAAATTAAAGAAACCCCACCTGGAACAAGAGGTCTGACATTTGCTTCTCCAGACAGTGAGAGCAGAGATGTGGGGAAGGAGGTTCCCAGCTTACCTATGTCTTTACGACTGCCAACTGTCACGACTGATTTCCTTACTGACAAAACCTGTCCTTTTATGGTAAAGCGTGTTGCAAAGCACCTGCATTTCAATTGGCTAGCATCCTACACCATTATGTTACATCGCTAATTGAAACAGACATTAAAAGAAACAAACCAACAACCCATTACCCTGAAAACTCCTCTAATCTTAAGATTAGTCCTCACCCCTGCATGGATCATCATGGCTGTGACTTCCTTAGGGATTACTCACAGGAGAAAGAACAATCTGCTTCGTGCATGGAAAGATTGAAAGCCACTAGTCTACGGAACTTAATTTAGAAACAACCTGCAAACGATAGTTAGCAACTAATGAAGGTCAACTGAGCCCTCCCTGGGGATGATTCTCCTGGCTGTGCTGTGACTGTGCAGAGTCTTTCTTTGCATCTGTCACATCCAGGAGGCCAGAAAAGGAAAGAAGACCAACAGGAGAAAATAGTCAGCCCTCCTGCCTGTCTCTGATGCCCTGGTTTGGAAGGGGCATAAGTTCAGCCTCAGAAACAACACACACTTCTCAGACAGGTATTTATGGCCATTCTCCATAGACTAGGGTTCCATGGTGTGATAATTACCAGCCACAGTGGTTTTAGTTGTCTCATGTCAAACCTTAATGCAGGAACATATTGAGGTATAAAATATCGATGGTACATTGGTTATTTATTCAGATATTTTATAGACATTCCTATGTTAGATTTCTTTTGTGGTGTAAGGAGTGGCTGGATAGTACTAACATTCTTAGGTGAATAAATTAATTCAGAAAATTCTTGCTCAACATCTCTGATGGGCAAAGTTCATACAGGCCACATAAGTATGTTTCTCTCACAAGCATTTAGAGCCTGGAGTAAGAGACAGAATTTAAATGCATAACTAAAATGCAAGGAAGAGAATGATACTTGTCCAAAGAGACATATAGACTAAATATTCAGGATTTTAGGGGAGAGACAGATGGTATCCAGCAGGGTGAAATCAAGAAGAGCTTGCTAAGGGGAAGAGGCATTCTAAATAGGTAAGGACCTGCTGAGATAATAGCAGAGACATGCAGGTGGGAGAGGGTGCTGGGAGCTATTCCTTTTGTTTACCATATGAGAAGTGGAGAGGGAGTGGAGGATATTATGGGATGTGGTTCCAAAGGGATAAAAATCAAAACATGTGCTGTGGCACATGCCTATAATCCCAGCAACTTGGGAAGCTGAAGCAGGAGGATCGAGAGTTTAAAACCAGCCTCGGCAAAAGCGAGGCTCTAAGCAACTCAGTGAGACCCTGTCTTTAAATAAAATACAAAAAATGTCTGGGGATGTGGCTCAGTAGTTGAGTGCCCCTGAGTTCAATCCCTGGTACCTACTCCCCCTGCAAAAAAAAAACCCTGAAAACCAAAACATGGGTATATAAAATGTCAGCATCATCAAAATCTTCAATGTGGGATTGTTTATTTCAGCTTCCTCATTTGATGTTGGAGGCCCAGAGAGGTGGAGTAACTTGCCTGACATTACACAGCTGGTTAAGAAGAAGATTAAGCATAATCAGTGGAATTGAGGGCTTTAAATATTTCAAATGATAGTTAAATTTAACATAATATAAACTAAAAAATACTATAACTATGACATAGAAATGTAAATAAATTGGCTATTACTTGAAGCAATAGTGAACATTTATGGAACACAATCAATATACATACAGCAGTATGCTAAGTGCTTGACAAACATATCCTCACTTATTCCTCCCATTAACTCATGGATTAGGTAGCATTATTATTACCATTTCAGAGATGATGCTGAGGTTGGTAGATGTTAAATAACTGGTTCAAAGTCACACAGCAAATGAATCACATAGCTGGAACTTGAATTCATTCCCTGACCACATCCTTTTTTGGGTGGTGGGTGGGAACAGGGGATTGAACTCAGGGGCTCTCAACCACTGAGCCACATTCCCAGCCTGATTTTGTATTTTATTTAGAGACAGGGTCTCACTGAGTTGCTTAAAACCTCGCTTTTGCTGAGGCTGGCTTTGAACTCTCAATCTTCCTGCCTCAGCCTCCTGAGCCTCTGAGATTACAGGCGTGCACCACTGCACGTAGCTACCACATGCTTTTAACTGTTAAGTTCTTCTGTCTCTCAAACTATTCCGTATATTATGAATATCACTCTATCCCAGTGACTTTTAAACTCTTAGATACTTAGAATTCTTAAAATGTCTCAAATTATAGCCAAAAGATATTTATAATTAGAATTCTAAATATACAGTCTAAAAACAATCCTTAATAGCTAATGAAAATCATTGGTTATCACTCCATACCAATAATTAGGTTTAATTGCTTCATTAATTTATTCCATAAGCATTTATGCAAAAAAAAAAAAAACAAACAGACAAAAATCTGTGTTCGTGGAATATGAGGTAGGCAGTTTCAAAACTATGGATGGATGACACTCTTAGTCCATCTGGGCTGCTGTAATAAAATACCTGTGATTTGGTAATTTGTAAACAACAGAAATTTATTTCTCATTGTTCTGGAGGCTGGAACATCCAAGATCAAGGCACTGGCAGATTCCCCGTGTGGTGAGTGACACTCCCTGACCCCAAGATGGTACCTTCTTGCCGTGTCCTCACATGGCCAAAGGGTGCCAAAGGGATAAACAAGTGCTGTGTCCTTTCCCGGCAGAAGAGATGGCAGGACCAGGCAGCTCTCTGAAATCCCTTTTAATTGCATCTGTGAAGGCAAAACCATCCTGACCATCTCTTAATACCACCATGAGTTTTAGAGGCTCAGAAACATTCAAATCATAGCAAATGCTAACAATTACCCGGCTGATGAGTTCTTAAAAACTTTTCATAACTTACATATTTATCATGCACCAATAGAAAATGTGCATAAATATTACGTGAGGAGTTTGATAAATCTTTCCAGTGTGAACACCTCCATAAAACCAGTCCCTACACAAAAATATACTCCATTACCATAGGCCCACTTTACAGTTGCCATCCATTCCCCCTAAATTAATCACTCTCTTGGCTTTTCAAATATTAGGTGAGTTTTGCTAGTTTTCAACTTTATGGAAATGAAACTGTAGGATATGAACTTCTCAGTGTCTGGCTTCTTCCTCTTAATGTTATGTTCACCCTTCTCACTGGTGTGTAATAGTTCATCACACAAAACCCACAAAGTTATTTTTCCATTCTACTACTGATGGATATTTCAAGGAGCTTTTAGACTTTGGGACAATTGTAGGCATACCTGTTTGGAGTGACACAGGGGGACTCAGGGGTGTTTTTGAGAAGCTTAGGTTCCACTTTTAGTAGATACTGTCAGTTTTCTGAAGTGGTTTGCCGAAGTACACTGGCACTTGTTCACTATGACCTTGCCGACACTTGATATTATCTGTTACATTTCAGCCATTAGGATAAGTGTATAGTTTATCTCATTGTTTTCATCAGCATATCCCTGATGATTAATGAAATTGTGTACCTTTTTATGTTTAATAGCTGTTTGCATATTGTCTGGCATGAGGTGACAGTTCAATTTTTTGCTCAAAAAAAAATCTAATGTTGTTTTAAAGTTGCACTGAAGAATTGGAAGTCACAAAATGATTTGTTTCATCAGAGACAAGCTTAATTAGCTTACTTGGAACACAGGTACTCAACAAAAATGTCAGGAGAAGTCTAGAGAATACAGTCAGGTTGGTCCCAAGCAAAGTTGCTCAGAATTTGTCTTTGATATTCTTTGACTTCATCTATTAGATTTTTCTCTCTCCCTGCTTCTCTGATATCCCAGCCTTACCACATATTTTGTACCCTGGGGAAGGGA